TCTTTCCTTTCTTTCCTTTCTTTCCTTTCTTTCCTTTCTTTCCTTTCCCTTCAAGACCTGTGCTAAAGCATTGTAGAACTTGAAAATCCTTCAAGCTTTAAGAGAGAGCCTGCTGATCCACCTGAGGGCTTAGGGAGCCCAGTGTCTAGTCTTAGGCAGTAGCCAAAAAGAAAATGCTGGGGAGACTATTTGAATGAAATAAGCATGTGTGAAATTTTACTGGAGCTCTCTCCCAGTATGTAACCATCTGCAATGAGCCAAAGTTTTGTTTGCTTTGTTTTGCTTAGTAGCATGTATTAAATTCTTCTGCCATGAACTTGTCAATGTCCCCTAGCTGTATAAACTTTTGGGGGAAGATGTTCCTTGGCCTCAAAAGTCTTTCAATTCTTCATTGAAGACACTGGCAAAATTGTTGTTGACCTGTATGTGCCAGGATTTAATCCTTCATGTGGCCATGGTTCTATGCACTGTGTTTTGTCAGTGTGAGATCACTAATTTGGTACAGTCCAGAACTCAGCTGAGTAACCGAAGTGAGGTGGAAGGACAAAGCAGCTTTAGGAGGTGATTCTCTCCAGTTCCTTAATGAGGGTTAGGAGTTGGAGTATTGTGAATATCAGTTTAGATCAGGAAGTTAATTGTTCTACAGAATGTCTGTCTTTAACTTCCTCTGTTTTGCAGAAGTATATCCTTTGCCAGTTAATTCTTATGATTTCAAGTGAAATATGTGTTGCCTTCATTTCTGAGATGCTGAGTCTTCCTTGCTTCACTGTTTTCTCTATGAAGATGCTGCTAATTAATGATGAACTTGAAATTTTGTGGTGATTTTCTGTTTTAATCTCTGTTGGATATTTTATGTGGTTTTAACATAACTTTTAGCTGCAAATTAGACACTGTTTTTCTTAGCTGTGCAACCTTAGATATTGATCAATGGAATAAAGTTATAGAGCAGCTAGGAACACCGTGCCCCGAATTTATGAAGAAATTACAGCCCACAGTTCGAACTTACGTGGAGAACAGACCCAAGTATGCTGGATATAGCTTTGAGAAGCTTTTTCCAGATGTCCTTTTCCCAGCTGATTCTGAACACAACAAACTTAAAGGTAAGTGTGCTGTATATTTTGAAAGTTCTTAAACTGTGTTGTACCCAACAGAAATGCATCTTGGTTTTGTTCACTATAAAATCCTCCTGCTAAGGATTTACATGTTAAAACATTTATGTAATGGGAGCAGATGGAAGTACAGAGGTTTGGTTACTGACACTTTCTCATATTCTCTGGAATAGCTCCTATTTAGATATCTGAACAGAGAAATGAAAGTGAGAAGTGAGAGGAGAGAGGAGTAGATGTTTCACAGCCACAGCAGATCTTGTTTGTTTGGGGATGAAAATAAAGTTTTGTGCATTCATTATATGCATATATCCTTTAGTTTCTGGTATAAGTTACTATTTCTAAAGCTTACCGTGTTTTCTGTGACAAACAATTGCAGTTTATGTGGAAAACAAAAAAAACAGCTGTCACTTAAAGCACAGGGATAGGTGCTTGTCCTCTGCTACTCCAGCCAAGGCTGTACTGCCAGCAGGTACAGAGCCATGCCCAGGGGCAGAGTATAATGAAACCCTGGTGAGACACATCTGTAACTTGATGTGATGGTGGTAAGGCCTTTCCGACAGGCCTTAATTCATGGAGAAAAAATGGAAGACTCCAGATATTTAGGATTCACCTTCATGAATCCTTTGTATTTAAGCTGTTCATGATGTGTAGTTGGTTTTACTTGAACATGGTTTATACAGCTTCCTTACTGTACCTTGCTCTAATCATACTAGGTATTCTGTACATATGACCTGATATGTTCATTTCTTCTTCCTTCTTATCCAAGATTTTCCTATTTATTATATATGAATACTTTGCCCATAGAAAACTAATTTAACAGAATACAGACCTCAGCTATACCTTGAGACTTATAACACATTTTACGTGTTATATCCTTTTGGATCATCACAATCAATGCTTTTCCTTCTTCAGCATTTATCTTTCAGACACTTCAAAAATGTTCTCCCTCTGCTTCCAATCTGGTAAAATGTTATTACTTTGTATAATTGCTTTCAATCTTCATAGTGAAGACTTCAGCACTTAGTTGAGTTTGAACATCCCTTTCTAAAAGGGAATTTAGCTAACGAAAATAAAAGGTTGCTGGAAGTTGCAGTGTTGCAGTTGGACGTTGCATAGAAATGATGTGATGGCTTTGTGGCATGCTGTATCTTTCCATCCAGCTGATTTACTTGTTTTACATTTAAACAGCCAATTCCATAGTACTTGTCTTCAGTGTATTTGTGTGTTTTTCCTTCTTTCTATTGCATTTTGTTTCTTGTCCGTGTTCAGCCAGTAAAGATTTTCTCCTAGCTGAAGGTTATCCTTTCTCATCTTTCAGCCAGACTTTGCTTAAGCAAAAATAAAGGGTGCTTTCTTGCTCTATTCTGTTTTTCTGAGAAAGAAAAGAGAGATTAGAAAAAAATGTAGTAAGGAGGAATTACTTGTTGATGTCCACTTCTCCCAGGTCCTCTTTTTTTAAAAAGAAATCTGTTATGACTTATTTTTCAGTCTTCTGTTAATTGTGTAGCTCTATTCTCATTTTAAATTACTATTTAAATTATTATTGACCCAGTAACAAGCTTGATAAATAAGAAGTATTCTGTTGTTGGTGTTCTCTTGCCTGCTTGTAGGACGATTATGCATAGTTGCTCTAGAACTATTTCCATGGAATGTTTTATTTTTTTTCTAGATAGTACACAGTCATAAATTCTTTCCAAAATATTGGTCTCTTCATTTTTCTTTTTTCATCACATGCACCATTTTCTTAAACTTCAAATTACACGAGGGTTGTATAAATAATAAAACGGAGTTTGTTATTTAAGTGTTCTCTCTTTACGAGCTTCGAAAGACTGTGATGTGCATGTGGCAATAGTCTAAGTAGAAAATTTCACTTTTGCAGCAAGTCAAGCAAGGGATTTGTTATCAAAAATGCTGGTTATAGACGCCTCGAAAAGAATTTCTGTGGATGAAGCCCTCCAGCACCCATACATCAATGTTTGGTATGATCCATCAGAAGCCGAAGCTGTAAGTCCTTGTTTTAGGTCTCCAACAAGGAAGATGTTTTGTCAAAGCAAGCTTGTTTTGATGCTCCGTGTAACTGCTTCAGAGGAGACTGCTTCATGCTTTACACATTTCACTAGAAGCTTAACCGAGCAGTAATCATTTCTATTGACATTGATCAATATACTTATTAGAATTAATAATAGGGATGAGCACAGTCTTGCACGTACCTGCAGTACCTGTGTATGTATTTGTGTATAATTGCATATAAATTCCTAGACATGGAGCAATGAACTGGAAGTCTCTGATACAGAGTTCTGATTTATTGAGTTACAGTTGTTACAGCACAGCTTGATTACTTGTGACAGTATTCCAGTCATTTGCTCCTGGGTAAGAGGAATACTTTCATTACTTACAGCAATTGATAGCACTTTTAAACTGGCAAATAAGTGTTTCAGCAAAATCTGATACAAGATCTGAAGCTTTGAAGTACTGCCACTAATGAACAAAGAGATCAACTGAAAATCTTCCTTTAAAAAAATAACTTCAGCTTATGAGAAAAAAAAATCATTTTTAAGAGGAAGTAAGCTGGTGATGGCCCACTAAGAACAGGAAAAGATGTTTGGTGTAAGTGGTACAATTAGAATTCTGCTGATCTATTATATCTAGAGAGAAAGTGATCAATTAACTCTGAATAGGTAAAAAGGGCTGCTTGTGCTTGAGACCACTGCAGTTAGGAGCATTATTACCAGCCCTTTTAGTTTCTGTTTTAATTAATACACTAATATTCATAAATGAGCTAACCTAGAACAAGTTGAAAACACGAAGCAGCATCTAGAAAATGAGCCAAGCGTGAGAGATTATTTGACCATGTAAATACAGTCTTTTTAAATCAGGTCCTTATTCTGAATATCTTATTTCCATTTTTCATTTATTGTGCTTGTCTATCCCCTTTGATTGCTTTATCATGAGTTAGTTTTGTTTTCCAGCCTCCACCAAAGATACCAGATAAGCAGTTAGATGAGAGGGAGCACACAATAGAAGAATGGAAAGGTAAGAACGATCCTTTTGCATATCCTACAGGTTTTTAATGTAGGTGTGCTTTTAGGCTTACTGTTACCAAGATTCTTCTGAGTAACATAATAGTATATACTTAAACTGCTTGGAATGGCAAGGGAATAGATCAGTGCTTCACAACCTCTTGGTTGTCGGGACAGAAAACGTTTTCTGTAAAGGTGATGAGTCTTTGTAGGGAGTTGAAGGTTGCTCAGCTGTAGGCCTGCTCATTTTGGTCAACTTTTGCAAATGGTAAAGCAGCGTTTTTAGGAAGGGAAACGCTTCTGGACAAAACTGCTACGATGAAAAAGGATGGAGGAGTTGGAGCACTGTGAGTCTAAATATTAGCGTGTTAATGTTATTTGCACTGAAAGAGGAAGCCAAAAGGAGTGTTAGCAGTGGGCAAGGGAGCGAGGTTGTAGCTCATGTGGGAGATGGCAGTGGTTTCATATATAGAATCTTGAGAAAGTAGCCAGGGCTGAAGTGTGAGAAGTGTCAGAGTATGGCATAAGGATTACCTCTAAGAATATGAGTTTTAGATTTCGGTACTGGTTTTGTATCTGTTTTTTCTTTATACTTACAAAGTATAAGGAGAACATCCTTGAAAGTAAAGCTTTTGTTTCATTTGGAAACTGCTTCTAAAAAGATGTGCTACTGCAAAGGCTCCAATGCTATGCATCTGCCTCTGCATCTGTTGGTGTTTGATGTTATTGTTTCCATAACCTTGCTATAACCTTCTGTACCCTTGGGACTTTATGAACTAAGAGACGGTCACTGTGCTTTAAAGACCTATGGAGATTAGTTTTAAGATACATGAAACTTCTTCCATTTCTAGTGGAGAAATGCTTAATATATGTATTACTGATTCCAAATGTTTTCCTTTGCTGCTGTTAGCAATTCAGATGATATTGCGTGCCCTTATAGTTCTTCAGAAATCACATATGACTTTTGTTAGAATTCTTTATGTAAGTAAATGATTGATTTACTGTAGAAGTACAATATTTAACTGCCCTCTCTAAAACATATTACTCTTTTGCATAGCCTAGTTAGTACAGTGTTGACAACACTGAAAAAATTCCTTCCTTTGGACCACTGCTGTCCTTCATCATACGATTTAACATATCAGAGGATTTAGTGCGTTCCAGAATTGGTATTGATTATTTCTAAGCAAAAGGCAGAGAAAATGCCTGAATTGATAATTCTGTTATTCACTGAGCTTGGAGCAGGTGTGTAGCTCTCACAGTGTGAGGGCCATGTGCTAGTTAGTTCTTGAGAGCCTGTCTCCAAAGTGCATTTAAGTGCCTTAGACCATAACCCTTCTCACTTAGTATAAGCAAGGTGCTTTTATTTAGGATGCTTGCTCGCTCTATCTCAGGTACTTCATTTAGTTCTTTGTGCTTCATGTATTTTAAATAGGGTTAGCAGTAACACTGAGCTTTGGATCCAGAGAAATGTGAAGGCTGCTTTCAGCAAGAATGCAGTGCGCTGACTGATCTAATACTTTGTACTGAAAACGCTTGGGAAGGAATTGGAGCCAGACTGGTATAGCCAGGAGGAAAATAATACTTTTTTTTAAAAAGTAGGACAAACGTTTAATGGAATATTTTTGACAGTTTCAATGCGTTGGCTGATAATGGACACAGGGCTATATTTATTATTAATATTTAGTACTGCCACACTTGCAATCACTTTCTGTTAGAAACCTATTAAATAAAAGCTATCAGGGTTTTAATTGTAAAGGCAGAGAGAAGGAGAATTGTGGAAATTCTCTTACTGTCTTCCTTCCACACAAATATGTTCCCCTTTTGAAGCAGCAGGTATGCGGTTATGTTGCTAAAATAAAAACTTAAGTATTTCAAGCAATATGAAAGTTACTTTTGAGACTGCCACTGCCCTTGAAATTGTAATTCCTGAATACTTTTTTCTTTCAAACCATACATGAGTTGACCAATGATAGATAAGAAGTAGTAACCTGACAAGTCAGTTCTTACGATCTGCATTTAATGTGTTTAGTCCTGTTCTTTTATTGCTCCTTCTGGAGATTCGCAGTTGAAGTGTTTTCTGGATGACAGGATACCATTAGCTGAGAAATGTTCTGGCCTGTATAAATTCACATTACAATGAAATACAGGGTGTATGATTCACATTACAAACACTTATAACTTATTTTAAGGATGAGGGAGGTGAAGTTGCTGCTTACATCTATCCATAGTGTTGTATTCCATGTCACAGTGACCTGTTGTTGCTGAGGAAACTTAGTGGCAAATATGTGTTGGGAGGATGGCAGTGCTGTTTGGACACATTTGTTGTGGTTTTTGTTCCTATCTCACCCAAGAGCTTGTGGCCTGATCTCTCCTAAGGAAACTGCTACTTGCCAAGAATATCTTGGTCAGTTTCCTTATTCAGGCAAATACCTATGAGAGGAAAAAGGCAGGTTAAATCGTAAGAGTTCTGAATTTTTTTCAGATCTTTAGGCAGACTACATTATGAAAAAAATAATAATGTGTGAAAGGGCATTTTAAAGATGAGAATGAATTAATGACAAAGAAACTTCCTCTGTAGAACAGCCTGCGTGGTTCTTTGAAGACTGCTGATCTGATTCTTCCATACCAAAGAAAGCATTGATAAAAACAGAATAGTCATTAAGACTCAGTTTAGCCTCAGGTCCCCAGACTGTCTGGACAAAAGTCTGAGACCAATGTCAGTGTGTTCTTGAGCTTTCCAGGCCATTGTAGCTCCAGAAGTAGAGAACTGTACATTACAATACCACTTGCCCTGTAATCTACAGCCTGTTGTTCAAAACTAATTCTAAACAGTTTTAATGGGAGATAAACTGTCAAATGAGGATTTTTTTTGTTTGCAAATTCAATTTTCTGCCTTATTTCCCTTCGTTTTCAGAATTGATATACAAGGAAGTCATGGACCTGGAGGAAAGAACCAAGAATGGGGTTATACGTGGGCAGCCAGCCCCTTTAGGTTGGTTACAATAAAAGCACAGTACGAAACTACATAGAGCTGTAGGTCAGGAGAGTGTAAAACTGTTCAAGATATCCAACTATAACCAGGCTCAAAAATGCGGCCCTGGAATGACTGATAATCTCTAGAATTCTCTTTGAATTTGCACTTATTTGAATGGAATGTGGAGTTGGCATCATTTGGTGGAATATCTCTTTTTATTAATCTGATAAATTATTATTGATACTTCATTTCAATCCTCTATCAAGATCTCAGGAAGTATTCTGTAGAGTACTTCATACGTGTACTCCATTGCCATAGTCAGGTAAGATATGTAATTTGTAGCTGGTGCAGTATCACATAAAGATACAACCACTACTTTTATCTATTAAGTAATGAAACAGGATTTCTAGATTGTATGTCTTGAAAATTCCTCTAAAGAGAAAAATTATGGAGTATATTCAGAAAGCATCACTGAACATCAGAACAAGATGGCAAAAGTTAGCTGCTGCTGCTGACTCTTCTCAAAGTTTACTGATGCCTGGCTTTGAACTGCAGCACATCTGAAACTGGCTGTATGCAGTGCAGATGGATGCTTGCTCTTCCCCCAACTAAGTGGGAGGATCTGATGAAAAAACATGTCATTTTCTTTCCCAAAATATGTAGGTATGGTCTAAGTTGGCTCTCAACATGTAGTAGGATATCTTAGCCCTGGGTTTTTGTACTATTTTTAACCTTCAGTCATTAGCATTTACTGTAATTAGACAGGTATCCCATCATGTGAGTTTAGTGTTTCTTACCATAGCATTCATAAAGCACCACATTTTTATGACTTATGGATTTTATTTACGTTGACAGTTGTTTGAGATGCATGTCTTCAGACTCGCCAAAGTGGGGAGAAGTAGTGAGTGTTAGGAAGAGACAGACTAATGCAAGTGCTGAGCCGTGCGACTGTATCTGCAACTGATTTGCTGTTTTGTTTCTCATAGCACAGGTGCAGCAATGATCAATGGCTCTCAGCATCCATCTTCGTCGTCATCTGTCAATGATGTGTCTTCAATGTCAACAGATCCAACATTGGCCTCTGATACAGACAGCAGTCTAGAAACCTCAGCTGGACCTCTGGGTTGCTGTAGATGACTACTTGGTCTTTTGGGGGGTGGGAGGGGGTTCCTTTTAGTCATTAATAGGGCACCTTTAAAATTTGGTGGTATTTTTGAGTGTTTTTTCAAAAATAATCATAGAATTCATCATAAAGTGCTGTAATTTTAAACTGTAAGTTGTGTTAAAAGCAGCCACTTTTTTTTTGCTGTAATTAACTGTAAAATATTAAACCTGATAATTTTTATTGTGGTTTTAAAATCTGCATATTTGCTTTACTATTATGCTGCTGATCTTTTTTTTACTGAATTTGTAAGATTTGTTTTATCAAAGCACATATTAATGTTGTGGTCATTACCATATCATGTATTATTTAAGATTTTATAGGTTTTCAATTTTTTTAAATTTAGAATTTATTCCAGATGTTTTGTTCATGATATCCTTCGAAGTTTTATGCTTGGTCATATGTCCATATTGAGGGGGAGAGAGAGATGGGTGCATCCAGCTGTAGGCTTTTTGGAGCGTGCTGCTATGGTGCTGACAGTGAATAATATGCTCTTTCATTTTGGCCACTTGCCTTTAATACTTGAGTAAAAGCAACAATTACTGAATTTTGTTAGAGAAACAGTATACAGTCCTTTGTAAAGTAATTTCATTTGAATGGTTTTATGATCTTAAGAAAGCAAAGCCTACCTTCAAAGCTGCAGAAGCATCTAGCCTAACAAAGAGATGTGATGTCTTCTGCACAACTGTGGCATGCCAAATCTCATGATCACCATAAAACAAGAGGATACTTCATGAATAATACATTACAATGCAAATAAACTGTTTACTTCTAGCTTGTAGCCTGTTTTTGTACACAAAACAAAGGTGTATCCAGGACGTCTAGATACCAACAGGAAGAACAAATATGCTGTAGTTATACGTCCATCTAGTATATGGTTCTTGGGAGTTTAGTTTCTGGCTACTTTTGTCTGCAAGGGTGAGTGCTTTCTGGGGAGAAGAGGAAAGGATGTGAATGCAGCAGGGGCAAAATTTCAGCTGTTCTTTCTCCACCAAAAATAACCAATCGCTAAAAACCGTGAAGTGGTAGAAGAACCTCAGGAAGCTTCCTGTAGCTAAGCATTAAGTGAGCAATATGTGCCATCCAAAGGAGGGAGAAATAGTGCTGTGTAAATTAATGCATATCTCTTTCATTTGACTGGGAGACCACTGTAGCAGAAGTCTTAGTAATGGTTCACTTTAAGTCATTAATATGCAGTAGTTTTCAGCACTGAAACTGCAGGTTTCAATACAATTTTTAAACAACAGATATATTGAAATATGTAGAACAGTTACTAAATAGTCATGTAAAATGGTACTGCTCCTCACGGAAGTATTTTAACTGTTTACATTTTATATTTACAGAATGATTTATGTATAACTGACTTAAGTTTATGTATGAGTTAAACAATCATTCAGAATTTGTTCCTTTGGAAAATGCAGATTTTTAGTGAAGCTAGGCTGTGTAATTGACTGCCATGTGTAGATGCATATTTTGTGTAGTGAATTAGAATGTAAAGAGGAATTTAAATTAGTAATGCTCACCAAAATGAGCATAAAAATTACGGAAGTCTTGCCAGGCACAGAGCAGAAGCAAATAATGTGACTGGCTACAAAGGTCATCCCGGAGCGACTGATGCTCTTCAGTGTGGTTCCTTCGCTTTGTTGGGTTAAAAGTCTCTTTTGTGGTTAGAATGGGAAGAGGGAAATTCATCCTTGCAGCAAAGTTTCAGAAAAATGTAAGTGACAGTAATGCCTTCAACATCTAATGTGTCTCTTGAAAAAAAATGCAGGATACAAGGAGTGGTAATGTCTCAAAGATGACTAAATTGATAAACTGCACAGTTGTTTCCCTGGCCTGGCTAGACTACTGGTAAGTGCTATTTGTGTGTGTAACTTTGGTTTCCTCATTTGTATGGAATATTTCAATATTGCCTTTCTAAACCACATTTGTTAAGGCAATTATTTTTACGGGATCCTGCCAAATTGTATATTACCTCAGAATAGGCAGATCTTATTGGACTTTTCTCACACTGGAACATAGAAAATCTGCTCGATTTGAACAGAGACCAATAGAACAGTCTATTTTGTAATTTTTTATTTATTTTTTTTTTTTTAATGAAAGCTTAAACTGTGAATTAAGCCAAAATTTTTTGTCGTAGAACAGTACTATTTTGCTACGCAAGGGTTAACCTGGAGTATGAAGTTAACATACTGACAAAATCAAATTCAGATGCCTATAGATTCTCTAAAGAATGGGATTTGGTAAATATAATCCCTATTTCAATTGATTTTGGACCCCTTTGTATTGCAGTGATGACTGAAGTATTTGGAAACTTTAATTTTTGTTATCACTTTCCAGTGTCCTAAGGAAAAATTTCTTTAAAATGCATATTGAGTGAATCTGACCATTATTTTTTTTCTTTCAACATAAATAGGCTGAGTCTAATATTACTGCAGCAAGCAATCAATAGTAACTTCATTTTGCTCATAAGCTCTAAGAGGAATTGAGTTTTTCTTTTCTTGTAATGTAGTGTTGATGAATGGCTGGGACTGTTCTCTGCAACCTGTAATAGTATAAAGTGAGCCATGTTTAAAGTGATTATTTCACTGAGGTCCAAGGGTCCACCTGTAGTCCTCTCCTAGCATCGTCTTCATAGCAGTCTTACTTGCTTTTTTTCTTCCACTTGATTGCATTTTAGACAAACTTAAAATACAAGTGAATCAGATTCTCAGTAACCAAGTTACTGCAACAGTAGGCAAGTCTTATTTCTTTTTATTTGTTGAAGTATAAAATGATTTCAGAGAGAGTTGTGCACTGCCGCAAATAGCAAACAAAGGGGATGAGTGCAACTGTTCTTGTATATTCTATTGCCAGCTAATATGCTATCTAATACACTGTAAAAATTTATTCCTGAAATATTAAGCTTTATTTCAGTATACGATTTCAAAATCTTTTCACAGTAACAGGCTTTACTAAAGTGCATGCAATGTTCCACTTCTAGGGCCGTTCCAGCCCATTGGAGTTGGTAGGGATTGAATTACAGTGAGCTGTGTCTGATTTCATGTCAGGTGAGCTTAAAAGTTGAGCAGTAATAATATTAATCCCCACCTTCTGTGGCAGGCTCTAAAAAAGCTCCTCTCCCTTTGCAGAAGTAGGTTCCTCAGGGTTTTTAAATAGATGGAAAGATGGGGGGGAAAGGGGGGGAAGTTAATACTGTTACTGTGTGCTGTACCTCTGCTCTGTGATGTCTTTTGATCTGTGAAGTCTTTTGTTGAGGCTACACAGTGGGGTTGGTGTGTGTTAGTGTGTGTGTGAGGGGGGAAGCTGGACTGCCAGAGCATCAGCTGAACAACCTTAGAGCAGCCTGACTGACCAGGCCACCTCTGCTTCACTCCTTCAGCTAACCTGAAGAGACGTGGCACTTTCCCCTGTGCTATGCAGCTTGGATTTTTGGTTTAGAAAAATCTTACTATACTGTATGTACATTAGTTTCTTTTTGGATGAGAATTCCAGCTAGATACAAAGATAATGTCAGTATGAAACTGGTAAGCCTTCCTGCCCCATGCACACACAGAATCATGTAATCACATGTGTGTGAATTTAAGAGGATGTAGTGAGCTGTAAAGAGAAGGTTGTGGCAATAGCACCCTCTGCTGTTTCAGTGTACATGCAGAATGTTATTGATGGGCTTGCTTTATGGAAAATTGCTTCTCTGAATATAAAGGCTATTCTGTTAGAAGGAAAAACTCAGCACCTTGACTGACATATTTATAATGCTTCAGCATTAATACATTCGACATTAATCTCAACGTTGCATAAAGAAGATGGTCAAATAGCTAGTACAGATAGATAGTTCTTGCCCAACCAGGAATCCAGTATTTGCTGTTAACAACAGCTTGTTCACATTGTTATATTTCATTTGTTAAATTTCATTTGCCTGTTAAATTTTTGGTTCACCTGTCCGGATATAGTTTGAGGATTGGCGCTGAAAGAGAGCAGTCTGCATAGGATTAGCAAGAATCTTAATGGAACCTGTGATGAGACTCTGCTGCCTAACTAAATTCTAGTTTGTTTTATTTATCTTTAGTTATGGGCACTGGATCAAAGTGATATTTCGGTTGATCTCTTTTATGCCCTAACACGGATCTCTCTTCTTTATGGATGTGTTATAATAGATAGCATTGTTTCCACTTTTGCCGTTAAAATTTTAAGCAAGGTTTTCTTGATCTACCTCACACAAACCACCTACGTTTCTAAATAAGCAAAGCTACCCCTTGCTATTGGAACTACACTGAATGTGAAATAGAAAATTACACTTCCTTTAGAAAATTGAACCCTTTGGCCAATGTTGAGACAATAGCAGTAGTTATGTTTCTTATATATTTCACGTAAGATGTTCATGTGTAATATATAGTTCGTGTACAATAATGTACATCTAGAATATTGTGTTAGCTGTAAATTGGTGATTTTATTATTGTAGTCTGGTTTTGTAGGTAAAAATAGCTTACTAGTAGTGTCAGCTCATCCTTTACATTTTACAAAAGGAATAATTCTTGGTAAGCTTTGCATACAGATAATTACTTTTGTAGGCCCAATATCTAGTCTATTTTTGAGAGTTCTTTAACTTTTCTTACTAAAGTTGAGAAAGGAAAAAAAAACCACCTTAACGATTGTGATCATTCCTTCTGCCCCTTTTAAAGTATGTTCTTAATTTTGTTTTGTCCCAGGAAATACTAAGGGGAAAATACATCATGAAAAATAGTGGGAGAGCTATTTTTTTTCTTCCCTGCATTTGATAGCTTTCCTGTTTTTCTTTTATTCCCTCCAAATAAGCTGTTGGTGGGGCATTACTGAAAGCATTGTGGTTTTTTCAATCATTCATGCCATAGGTCATTACATGTGCACCACTGGAATGTATACATTGTTATCTAGTATGTTAATTGGTTATAATGATATTTTAAATAAAAAAGGAAAAAAAAAAAGCTTGACCACTATGCATTTAGTGTTTCTTCATTGCTAGGCTGGAATGACAAGCATGGACTTGACAGTAAGACTGCAGCTGGAGCTGTATTAGTGTTGGTCTATCCTGAAAAATGTTTTAAGTGGCATTTATGTTCTCTTTTGTGTCTGAGCTCATCTGTAGGCAAAAAATGCTGTATTTCTTCTATTTTTACTGTTTTGCTACCAACTGCAGTCTGCCTGCCCTCCTGGTAATGAAGCTGCTGGGCCCCTGTGTGGTAGAAGAGGTAAGCTATGGCCTTTCCAGTGTGTGAGGGCACAGGGCCTGGGCCTTTAGGGAAAAAATCCTCAAAACTGATTGCTGGAGAAGCTTTAAGATACCTGATTTTTGAAGGGCTCTTACTGGAGAGCAAATTTGGATAACAGGACCACTTCCTGCCTTGGTATTACCAGTATTTATTTCATTACCTTCGTCTCCAGCAGGCTCTGTGAGTTGCTTTAAATGAAGACTCGGGATGCCCTCAAGTTGTGTTTGGCTGCATGCTGTCACGTTGTCTCTGCATCTCATTTTTGATGTGAAGGTGCTGCAGCTGTGTGCAGTGTAGTGCAGCCTGCTTCCTTCCTAGGGAGCAGTTCTGCAGGAGGTGTTCTTCTAGGAAAGTGGTGAGGCTCAGAGATGCTCTTTTTTGTTTGCCTATGTTAGCAGAAAGTGAGGCTGGTTCTAAGTAACACATGAATATAGAGCAAGGCCTGAAGCAGTCCTGGCTCTGTCAGGGGTTTGGCTGTGTTAACTTCATTTTTTATCATTTTGGGCAGTAGTTCTGGCTGATAAACCTAAAGCTGAAACCCTCCTTAGTGCTGCTTGCTTGTATAGAACTCTTTGGCAAATGTGGATCACTCATTAAGTTAGCATTACTGCTTTTCCTTTTCACTAGAAATACCATGCAGACCTATAGAATTTCTTCATTATTTGGCTTTGGATTTTTCAAGAACTTGCTTATGTTGGGTTTCTTTCACTGAATTTTTTTTTTTTTTTTTTTTTTTTTTTTTCCTGCATAATGTTGGAAGGGATGTTTCAGGCTGGGAAGTTACCTGATTCTGTGTCTTATTAGGACTAGCACACCTGTAAACTGTTGTTAAGGCTTCAATTTAATTGGTGGTGGTGGGAGGGGGCAGGAAGAAGCTAAATGCCTGTAAAATAAGAAGTGCACTCAGATCTGTGAGATAGGCAAAAGTTGTGGGAAAAGAGCATGGAAACAGCAGCTGTCACTGAAGAGAGTATTATCCTGTCAAATAAGGACATGGTGATCAATGGGGTTATGTCCAACAGCGTGAGCATATCCTCATTTCTTGCAAAATTGCTCATGAGAGGAAAATGAACATTACGTGTCTCTTACCATGCTTTAGAGTTTGCTTCCTGCTGAGGTACATTTTAGCAAGAATGGGATACACTGCAACGTCTTGCAGCCTACTTACTGCAGTGGATCATCTTCAAAATGACCTAAGATCTATTACTTCTGAAGAAGAGAAATACATATTTCTGGATCACAACAGTCAACTAAAGGTTAGTGCCATTAATTGCTGTGAGTAGATACAGTTTGCTCTGTGAAACTGACAAGAATTAATTTTATTCTGGTGGAGTGCAACACAGCTAATAAGTGATCCTGTCTTGGAGCTTCTGAAGACTTGGGATAGCTGGCTTTGTCTCTCACTTTGGCTGTAGATATCAGTTGTCTGGTATTCTAAGTACTTCAAATGAGTCAATTCTCAATATTCTTTTATTTCTCTGAGAGCCAGTGAGCAGTCTGGTTTAGTTGTTCTCCTTGCTTTGCATATTTGTTTTTAGGCTCTCAATCAGCATGGCTCAGTATTGTAGTGTGCTGGAATTAAAGAGAGCAGTCTGCACTAGAACATACAGGAGGTAATGCAGTATGAATTGTTTAAGGGATGTAGGCTGTCAGGATGTTGGATATAATGAAAAGTACCCGTGTTAGGGTAAGAATAAAAGAAGGTACAAAAATATTCTGATTGCTGCTACTTTGGATTGAATGCCTCTGGTAGTACAAACTGTCACTTTTACCAGCATGGTATTGTAATTGCAGAGTTATTTACAGCCTAGCACAGGCTATACTTTGACACTGAGGTTTATTTTTGAGGACTGTCATTAGACTTCACACTGCCTAAAGCCACTATGGTGTTCCAGCTGACATTCATTGTTACAGGAATTGCTCCTCATGCTTTGTGCATATTAATAGTTTTAAACGGGCCCTTGTCTTCCTTGCAGACTCAGTTGCGACCCTGTAAGCTGGTAAGGAGTTGTGCCCAGTAGTGATACCCTGGAAGGATGTGAACTGGGGTGGCGCTCGTTAGTAATACTAAGGGGGGGGGGGGGGGGGGCCGATGCTGCTGCCTGCAGGTGGCAGGCTGCTCCTGCTGAACAGTCAGGGTTTTGCCACACTGCTTCACCATAGGGGTAGTAAAGAATCCAGTGCAGCTGGGCACGCTTGGAAACTGTTCTGAAATACCCAAACAGCTTAGTTGTATTTCACTGCTTTGCTTGACTTGCCGTAACCAGGAAATATGAGGCTATATGTTTCTTTTTGCTCGCTTTAAATGGTTTACATTTCTGTGGGAAGGAGAATCCCTACAGTGAGGCAGAAACAACTTCTGTTCAGTCAGTGAGATAAGGAGAACATCAGTGTGCATCTGCTGGTACTGCAAAAAGACCGTCCCAAGGTTACTGCCAGATAATGAGTTATATTCTTTTCTACCAAGAAAAAAAAAGCAAGGTCATTCTTCTTTTTAAGTAGTTAAATGAAGCGAGCACCTTCACTGCAGTCTATACCAGTTCCTAGTCAGTTCACGTGGTCATGGCATTTTTCTGTTAAAATCATTCTCCTTTGAGACTCCCAAGCTGCATCAGCTGTCAAAGATTTCTGCCGAAAGAGGGCAAACGATGGAGTGCAGGGGCTGGCAAACCACCTCGAGATGGATCTGGTGAAACAGCGGTTTGTGTGCAGATTCTGTATGACTCGGGGTCCTCCAAATGTTGTGCAGAACTTCCCCAGTAAGTCAGTCGGTCCCTTGAAGGGAAGTGAGTCGTGACAGTCCTGGAATTACAACTTCATTCTAACAGCGTATGTTCTTTTTGTAGAAGTAGTGAACTTAAGCTACTGGATTGTTTGCAGTTCTCCTTTTCCCCATAAACTTTCTTGCAAACAAAAAAATCAACTGCTGTTCTGTGACAGTTAAAGATAGATCCCACCCATTCCCTTCTTCAACACTAACTGCATTAATTTCTCTTACAGTAGTTTTGCTATTCAAGTTAAAATACTGACATCAGTTGGACTTGTTTTGATTACAAGAAGAATTTTCCTTTTCTTACCTTGATGTCTGACCACTACGTATCAACTCACAGGAGATTTCTTTTTTCTTGCAGCTGATGCTGCTCTATTTTTAGCTCAAAGTAAAAATAAGTTACCTAGGGCAAAGCACGCATATTTAAAGTTCCAGTGAGTTTCTGTGGCCAATCTGATTGTTAAACAGGTACACTTTAATAAGTCATATTTTTGTGAGGCAGTGGAACTGTTTGGTACCAAAGGGATAACGTAGTGAAAGTGTCAAAATTTCCAGTATTTTCAGCTGTTCAGCAGACATTGTTTTCAAAGCATCTTGATGAAATAATGCCACTTTCAGCAATGAGATATCTGAACAAGCTTTATGTAGAGAGTAGGGAGGAAAAAACCTCGTATTCAATCCATATGCTAAGCCACAATGAATGTGGTGACATTCTAGAACTGCAGTCCTCCCGGGTCTCACCCACCTTCCATGCCTTTCCATTGTCCGTGAACCAGCAAAAGGAGGGTGCAGGGAATCCAAAGATGGAACAAGTACAGCAATGGAGACCAGAACCTTTTGACCTGTGGGTAGAAAGTGTGTCCTCTCTTTCTTGGCAATCTGAAATCTAAACGTTCAAACATTATGTTCAGCAGTCTATTCCCAGCTGGCCCAAATACTACAGAACATGAAAAGACAACAGGGCACATGTCACTGAGAGCACAATCACTGCAGAATTACTCATGATACATGAGTATAACTTAACAAAATGTGCATTTCTTTCACTGGTTTTGCCAGAAATAATTTTCTGTGATGTACATCAGGTTGTTCTATTTGGAGACTTTAGCACTTTGACTCCCACCAGTTAAACATCCTAATGTTGAAAAAAACTCTTCCATTTCCTTCTGCAGGAGGTGATTCCTCTTCTCTGCATCTTCCCGAGCACGTTCAGAATTCCTCAGTTTTATCTCCAGCATTGTGTATTTCTTTCGTTCTTGGTCCAGTTCTTCTTCTAGCCTAACCACTTGCTTCCTCAGGTCTGCACTTGCTTCTTCAATTCTTAAAACCAAACAGGAGAGAGAGGGAGGAGAAAAAAAAAAAGAAAAAAAAAAGAACTTTTTAAGTAAGAAGCATGATAAGTAGTGCTGTAATAGCTGTGATAAATATAAGTTGTTCTACTTAGAGCTAAAATGTCTCAATTCTAAGAGGAAGTTTTAAATGAGAGCACCAATTACCATTTTGAAGTTACTTAATATTGAGTTTAAGGGCAGGGGGTCCTTGAACGCTGGATCCCACTTCCATTTGTATCTTGAGAAAATAAATATACTTAAGCAAGTCAAGTCTTACAAAGCAATGCTTTTGGGAGGAGATATAACTCAACACACCTGTTAGGTTGAGTTCAGATATATAACTTCTGTAACTTCCAAAAGAAACAACAACCTGTTTTTATCCTGTGTTTCCCTGTAAGGTATCCAGTACAGAAGAATACCCTTGAAGGTCAGTTAGTTAGGAATGAAGTCACACTCCTTCCTTGCCTTCCATCTTATGGTATTTTCTGTAAAGTTTGTCACTGACAATGGGGCTGGGGAGCAGAAATTTTTCACACTGCAGAATTTTACAAAACAAACAGACAAAAAAAAAATCCACATTTCATATGAGGAAGAATCTGAAGGACAGACCTGAAATAGTTCATCTGTGCACAAAGCTCTAATTCAAGACTCAGAACTTACTGTCCTCCCACTCACGTTTCCTAATTGCAAGACAGAGTTCAGAAGAAATACATCCAGATAGGAGTCAGACAGTGAGTTTTAAAAACAGCCTTGTCCTAGGAAAGGTGTCACTCTACTTTAAATTAAAAACAAAAGAATGAACATTCTAATACCCAACTGTGGAAATAGGGTGCCTGGCTTCCCTTTGAAACTGGGGCTGGGATATTTTTACACAGGGTAAGTGAAACTTAAAAAGGAAGCCTCCACAGCAACATCTAAAAAAAGAACTTTCTCAGAAGAACCCGAATTACATCTTGTGACCACCACGAAGCAACTTTGCAGACAATGCAATGCACTGCAGCCCTGTTTCTTCACCTACAGCCAAGAATGACATTATTATCATTGTTACCAACTTCAACAAATTACAAAGTCACACCCATAAGCACTGATCACAAAGTGCAGCAGACCAACAGCTGCGCTTACAGGTAAACAGAAATGTGCAGAATATCTAGAAAAAACTACCAGTCCTGGCCAACATTTATCAGCCAGCTGTGTTCTGCAATGCAAGTGGACTCCTTGGAAGCTAAGATGCAGCCCCCCACACTTCTTGCTACATCCCACAGATCTGTGCTACCAGTTATATTTTCCTTCTGTGAAGCTTTAGGAGTCAGCTAGAGCAGCCAAAACAAACTGCCCCTGTTCTGAATACAAAGGTTCACAGTGCTTACAGGCATTTTATATACACAGTAATAGTCCTCTTCAGGACATTTCCAGTTTCTTAAGAGGCCCAGGTGGTAAACATGAATTACTGAAACTCAACAGAGAATGCCTGATAATTATACTAACCTTGAGGGAAAAATGCTCTGGAACAGACCGGTTACAGGAAGGCCATAAAACTTGCCTCCCTCTGACTAAGAGGGAGAAAATGGGCAGTTGATAATGATAAATAACAGCTTTTCCATCAGCAAGTGTTCCTTACCTCTGCCCCAGGCAGGTACCGACTTTGCTTTCCCTCCACGTACATGTGCCAACAAAAAGCTCATATGCCTTCATTAAAACATGCCCTACTACACAGACTGAATTCTACAAACCACACAAGCACAGGTACAACTGTAAAGGAATTATTACTTTTGGGGACTGAATTCCCTTCATAACACCAGTGAGGTAGCCCCCGATTTTCCTGCTAATCTGCCACGCTCCTTCACTGTAGTCAGCTTCTGTCTTTCCACAGGAGCAGATTTTCACGTGCAGTCAAAAGGAAATTAAAATGTTGCAGCTGCAGTAAAAACACTGCAAAATTTTTGAGAGCTGAAAAACTTGGCTTGAAACTCTCAGAATTGACAGCAAGATCCTTAGGGCTGTAATCCCAAACAGCTGGAATCATCCTGTTTAATACAAAAAGGCAGTGATTGCATCTTGCCTACTTTATGAAAATACCACCAGTTTGTTAGGCATCTTCCCCTTAGCTACTTTACCCTTTGAGACCTGGCTAATTTGTAGTCCTCCCCTCCAGTTACACTAACTGCTCTTTGTCCCTTTCCAGCTGAAGGGGAAAGACAAGTGTCTGTTACAACTGAAACAGCTGAGAATGCAGCAGAAATGACAAACGTCCTTCCTAGGTGTTTTCGTGATGATATGGAAAGCTTTCACTTCCCAGAGGCAGCAGGTAAGAATGCGCAGGTACACACTTCCAAATTTTGCAGCCTGATCTCGTTTCTATTTGTTACTCAGTATCCCTGCAACAAGGCTTGTGAGGGCAGTCCTGCAGATCAAATGCAATGAACATACTCGTCTCCCTACCAGCTTTGCAGAGGCTGGCAAACCACCACCACAGTAAGCCATAAAATATAGCAAGAAGGTAACAAGTGATAATATTCATACCTTAACAGCTGGCCCACTGGTACAGATCACAGTTCCCACTGGGGCTTTCCAAAAGCTTTTGATAAATAACGATAAAAATGATGCAGCAGCAAACTTAGCTGACGCTTTTGGTACCATGTGTAAAAGAGTGGCTGGATACTGAGCCATGTAAAGGTTACCAGAGTTTTAATAACGTAGGAGTCTAACACTAACCAAACACAAAATAGCTGAGAAGAAACAAATTTGTGAGAAGTGTGCTTGCAGCCCTTCTCCAATGCAAAGCACCATAACTGGTGACAATTCTTCTGTACTGTAACATGGTGTACAATTTCACATATCCCTTTATATTAAAACGTATCTAAATTATTTCATGTTTGTATTTTACCGAGTACTTGTCTGAAAATCATTCTGTTAAACTCTAAAACTCGTAAAAACTAATACACCAACTCACACAAATGAATAAATAAGACTCTTCCTAATTGTTAGGAGTACTTTCTACTTCTTATAGGCCCTACCTTCACACACACCTCTCCTGAAAACATGAAAAACATCAGGGCTAAGAACCACCAAGTTCAGCCCTGCTGCCCAAGCAGCACCTTGCTGCTGCTTTGAGTCAGTACCATGCTGTGTGAGCAGAGGACTGTTCTGAGAGCATCTGGAAACGGTGCTTTGATTTTTGAGGTTCAACAAAAAATGGTTACTGAAAAAGTTATAACTGAGATGCAATCTCAACAACAATAAAACCAGCAAAGAACAGTCACAACCATTTTTCTAAGGAAATTTTCCCTTGGGAAAAGCGGCATAAAACCTTCAATTTCAGACTGATTTGACACAGTTCTCAGCACCTGCACAGACCACCCTAGGTTCCATTCCCTCCCCACAAGACAGATGCTTGCCTCGCTGTTTCTAGCAGAACACTGACAAAGAGAAGACTCTGGTAATAACCTGTGTTGTTCCAATTTCCATTGAAAAATCAACTGAGCAATACTGGAATTTCCTGTGTAATAGAAATCCCATTTTTTAATCTTCTCTTCTGTCAAATCATGGAATCATAGAATCACAGGGTTGGAAACGACCTACAAAATCATCCAGTCCAACTGTCTCCTCATCACCATTGCCACCACAAGCACTAAACCATATCATGCAGCATGTCATCCAGATGCCTCTTGAACACTGCCAGGGACGGCAACTCCACCACCTCCCTGGGCAGCCATTCCAGTGCCTGACCACTCTCTGAGAGAAAAAGTTCTTCCTTATGTCCCTCCTAAACCTCCTCTGATACAACTTGCGGCCATTACCCCGTGTCCTGCTCGTTGCCTGGGCGAAGAGGCCAAATCCCTCTTCATCACAGCCTCCCTTCAGGAGGTTGTAGAGTGCAATGAGGTCTCCCTTGAGCTTCCTCTTCTCCAGACTGAACAATCCCAGCTCAAAGAGAAAAGCTGGACTCACAGAGCACTGAGGAAAGACCAGATCCAAATTTACAATCTTCCCAAGCTACAGGTCCCAGAACCAGATTAGTTTGGTAGCCCCCACCCATGTTCAAACAGAGGTGATGATCACAGAAGACTTCTTTTTCTCCACCATGCATGTGACATTACCTTTTGATACTGGTCTCGTACTCAGTCCTCTGTTTGCTCAGTTCTGTCTTTAGCTCTACCACCAAGCTCTGTAAGGCCCTAGAGCATCTGACAGAGTCTCTGGAAGCTGGAGCTAGGTTGCTCTGCTCACTGCTGCTGCTGCAGGCTTCTAACCTGTCGATGCTGTTCTCCAGATCTGCAGTCTTGATCTCACTCTGAGACAGTGAGCCCTGAGTCATCCACTCAGTTTGGAGAGAGCTTAAAACCGAGGAGTCACTGGCCCGACAGGCTGGGCAGCTGCTGACTGAGTCCACCACAGAGATCTCACACGATGACGTAGACCACGTGGTGCTGCCCATACTGTGTGTGCTGAGGGAGAGGCTGGACGAAGGGACATTGTCATAAGTAGAAAGTCTCTGAGAAGAACAAGAGTCTTTAACTCGTTCCCCAGAGGCTGTCCGGCGGTGGCCTCGGAGAGAGTACAGTCCATTCATCAGCCAGTTTCCACTGGAGGAGAGGTTGGGGATATCTAGGGATGAGCTGCCCAGCTTTGGGCTCACAGATCGTGATCCCTGCTGGCGGAAGGAGTATTTCCACGGAGGCAGCGTCTGCACTCTTTTGCTGGGGCTGGTGGCAGGCTGAGCCAACTTGCTGCTGTGCTCTGGAGGGGCGTTTTTCAATACAGGTCCAGGCGTGGTCTCCAGTGCCACAGCATTGTCAGAAGGCAGATCAGCAGGGCTGGGAAAATTGCTTTCTGACCTGCTGTCCTCTCCATCCTCCTCAGAGATCCACTCCACAGTGTTGCGTGGACGCACGGGTCTGATTTCCAGTTGGCTCCCTGGCACATCTGCCTGAGGGACAGCAAAGATTCTCCCCTGTTCACTTATCAGCACCGTCATCAGGTGCTGAACCAGTGAGGTGCCTGTGGGAGAAAACAAAGGCAAGGATTCCATGAGACCATGGAAGGCCTGATGTTCCCTGTCTGTAAGGTGCCCTGTGAGCTCCCTGTTGGGCAGGTGTGCGGGCACCATGCCCTGCAGCAGGACAGTACAAACCTCTGGGCCTTTCTATACAGGACTGCAAGAGGTAGGAATTGCTCCCACTGCTGGAGATGAAGAATAGGAATGACACAGGCATGTCTGCCTGCTTAATGCAGCTGACTAGCATAGCACAAATGGTCAGTAGTAACTATTAATAAATTAGCCTGCTTAAGGACTTTTGAGGATGACAGAGGAGGGAGATACATGAAAAAACAGGGCATTTCTGTACCACACTGGCATGGGGCTCAGAGCCAGCATCAACTTCACTTTAGCAAGTGCAGCTCTACAGGACAGCACAGCTCTGTACAGAGATGCATGCTGGATTCTCAGTACACCAATGTGTCATCTAGCATGGAGCATCTTTCCGTCCAGCTTCCAAAACTAGCAGGCTTCCATTGACTCGAGTATCTGCATTATGCCAAAATTCAGTCTTAGCAAGCCCAGAGCTAGTGTTTACAAAAGCACCAGAAGCTTCAGCCTAGGCCTTCTGCTGAACTCTATAGAGAAACTTGCCAAGAGTATGACATCTGTATGACAGATGCGGCTGCGCACAAGGGGAAAGAGATACTTCTTGTACCATCAATCTATTTGTAGAATGCTCTTTGCTTACAATTCTAGTAAAATGTTCAGCATTTTGAAATGAAACAGTACACATTAGGTAACATGTTGAAATACAGTCCATGGTGGAAATGAGATTTCAAATATATGCTGGAGAGTCCCAGACAAATGCAGCTTCCCAGATACAAAGTGAAAGCAACAAGAACTTCTGACTGACAGTGTTTCCAATCATTAAGAAGGACCCAAAGGAAAACATTAAATTTTAAGGTAGAACACAGCATAGATCACAGCCTAAAGCAACCATGTGTATGTTCTTTACAATAGGAGAGCAAAACAAAAAAACAGGTGTTACAGGAACGTAGGTACCAGTAAATGTTATAAAGTGAAATATAAGTTGCCATAGGGGCTACTCTACTGGAACAAAGTTTCCCCCAAAGAATCACAAATGCAGCTGTAGACAGCAGCTAGCAGATGCACAAGGTGACCAACCTGATTAAAAGAGAGCTTCTCACAACATTTAAACAAAGTAGAAAGTATACAGGGAGTGCAGGCAGCGTACTGACAACTATGTAAGTCCACAGAATGAGTTGTTACTGCTTTTCAGTAGGGTTCAGTAGGGTTCAGTAGACCATTAGAGACCAAAAGAATACCACTTATCAAACCTAATACAAAGTATTTTCCACAAAAGAGAAAAGCCTTAAAAAGAGCAAATATGCAATTAATGCTAGGTTTACTTATCATCTGAAATAGAGAATAAGACTAATACCCAGGGTTCTATGATAAGGACTTGAATATAATCATGAGTCTTGGCCTGACAGCAAGAAGTACAACTAACCTCACCTATAACACGTATTTAACTTCTGTGAGGAGTTCAGCTGTCCCCACTTTTAGACTGCTAATAACCCAGCATCTGTTTCTGCACTTGCTGACTCACATGGAGATGGATAATTTTCAGATTTTTATACATGCTTCAGGAGAAAGAAGCATTCATGCCTGCAAGCAAGACCTAAGTGCACTGAGGTCCATCGTTAGTTATTCTGTTTCACCTTTTCTCATCTCACTTGTGGCATTTTAACTTATTTCCTAAAGCAAAGACCCATTCTCAAGGAGTACAGAAGTAACTACTGAGTGTAAGAGCTTTTTTCAGTCACAGATCTATTTTTTTCATTCTTTCAAAATTTTTTAAAACAGTCTATGCCTTTCCATCATTAGGCTTCCTCCTTCTCTGGAGTTCTCTTTTCCTGCAGTCCAGCACAAACAGGATACAATGAGCAAGCAAATTCAGTAAAACTTGAGTAGAATAGTCTGGTTTTCTACTTCATCCCAACCCTTGCAGATAAAAGTTGTCATCTCAAAAGAACACACTTAACAGCAAATGTACCCAAAGCAGCTCCATAATTAGTTAGGGCCTAGTAACATTACTTCTACTAGAGGTTTGGGTTGTTTTGGTTTGTTTTTTTTCAACTCAGGAAATATATATATGCAAACATCTGATATATGGCTGGAATAATTTTTTTTTTTTAAATGTACAAACATCCAAAATTAACAGTGATCTTTGACTTGTTACTCAATTCTGTGAAGTTCTGACCCACACACAGTCTGCTTGCAAGACAACATGTCTAAGACACATAAGTATAACCTCTGTAGCACAGTAAGAACTGCAGTACCTCTTTCATTGTAGTTTGAATGCCCTTTGCAGGAAGTTGCCTAAATACACCCAAATGCAGTAATGCTAAACAGCAGTAGTTTGATACTTGAACATGGAACTGAAGAACTTTTGACCTTTCATTTTAACAGTAAGTGTGAGAAACGTTCTCAACAGCTGAAAGGGCATAGAAGGGCAGAGGCATCTCCATGTTGTAGAAAAGAGACATTCCCAGACCAGTGGCAAGTGGGATAGCAGTGGCCAGACTGGTACATCCACTCACAGGCACTGATGAAATGGATTGTCTGACTTGTTGCTGACTGTGCATTCAGTGATACAACGTGCAGTACTTCTCATCATCTTCCTGCAGCTCCAAAATATAAATGCTGTGTTATCTCACAAGAGGAGTACCTACCTTCCATCATGGTCACTGGATCTTCCATTTTGGGTCGTAATATATTTGGTCCAAACACTGTAGCTAGGTTCTGAACACTCATCTTGTTAACGCTGGAGTGAGCCTGAACTTCATCAAGGAACCTTGAAAAGCCCCCCCAGAAAAATCATAGAAGGAGAGAAATAAGTCAGTCACTTCTCAGACTGTAGGCATGCTGAGCAGAAAGTTTTGCCCTGTGTTTATATAGCCTGGGATCCAAAATGCTCCTACAGACTAAATGCAGCTTAGATATTCAAACTCAATCCCAGATCCCTTGTATGAACAAGAGAAGACAGAATATCTTCTGCCAAAGGTACTTCTGACTATGCAAATACAGATTTTCTGGGAAATTTCCATTTACATGGAGTGATTTCTGCCAGTTTTCACTTACAGATAGAGGTAAAAAAAAAAAAAAAAAGACATTTCACTGATCCTCACATCCTAGAATTAAGCAGCCTGTGGGAAGAGCTTTATTTCTTGAATCTGACAAAACACAGATAAAGAGCTTCTTGTGAATGCATCAACTGGGCAGACATCAACACATGGAAAAGACTTTATGTGAGCCAAAGATAGCACATGAAGAAATGCAGACAGACTGGCTATCTGTATGCATACGCTGGAAATCAACAGAATGTTTCTAAAAGTTATATGTTTTGCAATTTGGAATAGCCTCAGTAGGAGCTACAGTAGGTTGTAAGAAACACTGAAATAGCTTGTAATTGGTCTCGTTACAAAAAGGACAATATGACATGAATACCTAGAGGAGCAGGAAACAGGTCTCAGGGACCTCAGAGTTGAACAGTCTCACTCTGCCTGTAATCTGTTTTTAATGAACTGCTGTTCATTCTGGGGTGATCTGAGCAGTTTTAGCAGTCAAAACATTTCCTCCTCGCACTGTACTACTCAGTTGGCAAACTTCTGAAAGCTTCTACTTGCAGCCTGACTTTCATAGGCACTCCTATTGTTTAAGAGGCTTTCAGTGTGCTGAGACCCAAGAACTGTTTTCTTCCCTAAGTCAGAACTAAAAACGACTTTATTTTCTTCAATTCTTCACTTAGAAACATGTGTGATTATATTCTCTTCCATATTCTCCCTTTATGTTTTGTAATACTCAAGACACCAAACTACAGAAATACACAGTGAGGCACAATACATTTTTCAAAGCATTCAAAAGTACATTTCAAAAATGCTGTCCATCTGTACCCTTGGGAAGGATTGTCATCTCCTGAGTAAGGCATGGGCTTCATGTCAGTCAGCATTTGTGTCTACTGCCTGTTGCAGATGTGCAAAGGACTTTACCACAGAGATCACAATAGGACAAAGTGAATTACATTGTATTAAGGCAAACATTCTGTTCCAGCTCCCAGACGATTCCTTCCCACTTGGAACAATCAGCAGAGAGACAACAGGAGAAAAGGCCACAGAATCCCTGGCACTCCAAGCCATTCCCAACCCCACTTCCAAATCACAGCTGAGGCCAGACTGGCCTCTATCATAACTCTATCTGCTACTCAGCTTGAGTTACAAATCCTCCTGCTGTGCAATGCCTGGAACTACTACCTTTCTTTATTGGTCTTTAAGTGCTTCTGAAACAAACAGTACAACCTAGCAGCATCATTGATGCTTGCTGTCAAGGCTGTGGATGACAGCAATTTGTTTGGCTGCACATCCACCTATACATACTTTACAGGATCAGCATGTTATGTCTAAGTGGTGACTGAACATTCAAACTTTCAGAGTGAATTATTTGTATATAAGATTGAATCTCACAAAATGTAGTGACTTTTCCAAGTGTTAATTAATTTCACTTACTTGCATATGTACTTCAGGAGATTGTAGTTGGCTTGGGGCAAATTCTTTACCTGTTTAACCAGTTCCTGAGTACCCTGAGGGACAAGAAAAACAAGAAAGGAGGACTATTAATATAAATGATGCAAAGCAGACATGACTCTCAGTGCTATAAAATGCTCTTTTCTGAGTCAAACCTGTGAATCAACAAATGATAGCACAAGGAAGTTTTGTAGACAGTATCATCCTTCATTGTTCCTTGCCTCTCAGGTAGAAGGCAAACACTGGTCCCAGTAAGAGAGATCCACTACACACCATACATTGACACGAGATAGAGTGAGAAAACAGCTCTCTATAGGAGTGCTGATGGCCCAGCAAGCAGAGGTGCCCACCCAGAGGAGCATCATTACTGGGATCTTTCCCCAGACAAACAAAAACAAACAAAAAAACAACCAAACAAACAAACAAAAAACATTTTTTCCTTTAAAATTCTAAAAGACAGAGAAAGAAAATAAACCAAAAAATAGCTGGGCTGTCCATCTACAACAAAAGGAAAACCAGAAAACCACCCCCTCTGCAAACCTCCAAGTCAGCATGCTTATTCCCCAAACACCAAGAAAAGCTTTTGTCCAAGAGAAAATGGCTGCAGAATTCCTGAAGTCAAATCATGGACTGAAATACTGAAACCCCCACATCCAGAACTTGATTTAGTGTTCTAAATCGGCGCAAATCCTTTTGTCAGCTTAATGGTTAAATGTATAAACCTTTATCTAGGGAAGCCCGCTGGTCTTCAGTCTGCTCATGGATATACCAGTATAAGTGGACCAGCAAATATGGCTTTCCAGCACCCTGCTTATTCAAAACTTCAGAGGCTCTGAGCGTACCATAAACAGGGTGCAGCAATGCCAAACTGAGCAGAGGAGAATTTTTCTTTAAGAAGCTGACAACATTCCAGTTCAGATACCTCCTTTTTAATTACTTCCATTTGCAGTCATTCTGAGCTGTGACATACTTCCTCATAAACCTTCTGTCTTTACATTAATATGTAAGATGAGAGATCTGCCTGACAAATGACTTAAAACCCTGAAGCTACTTAAATCATCTTATGAAAATCTCTGACTCAGAAGGCTATTGTCCTGCTGCAGTCCCACCATCATTTACTCGTTCCTTTCAATGCTGCAGTTACTCTGAAGGTTTGCTCATTTTTTGGGACTACCATCCCTGTGTGAAGACAGATATCCAAACACATCTGTGAAGAGTGATAGCTGTTAACTAACGAGGGAGGACTGCTAGAGAAGTTTCAGAATTGCTGGTTCCAAGCCAGATAACTGCATTTGGACATTCATTTCCAGCTTTCCTCCATTTTGTAATGAATGTCAGGGAGGGGATTCTGTTGGGCAGCCTCCTGCAAGATCTTCATGAGTCCTCTGCTCCAGATGGGTCTGCAAGATCCAGAAAGCAGTCTGTATTCCTGCTTCCATCCTTAATATCCTGAAAGCAAGCAATTTTTTCTTCTGAACTTGCCAGTAAACAAAAATAGTCGAACTAATAAAAAACCAAACTTTAAAAAAAGCAGTCTTTTTTAATTCCTCCAGGTAAAAATCACGCCTGTTAACAGTGACAACAATGGAGACTCCAATAAAAGAGCTGTCTCTTGAAAACCTCAAACATCTTTCTTGAACTTCTGAAGACATTTGAATCAAGGAAAGCTGCTATTGATGTGAAGGTTAAAGTCAGTTTTTCAGGTCATCCGGCTTTCAAGTGAGGTGTTTGAACTAGATACAGTTGAGCTAACAAACCTCTCGAGTTTTGCTCTGTAACCCAATTTATTTCAAATACAGAAATCAGAATGACATTTGGCACTGTGTTTCAAGTGCTCTGAATTAAAATGTCACAGCTTCACTGGATGCAAGAGAGGGCTTTGTAACATGCAGGCAGCTGGAAGTATGATCTAAAGGTACAAGCCCTATGAAAGAAAAAAAGGCTGTAGATATTTATCATCCATGCTCTGTCACAAGGAATCACAAATGTGGGATTACAATGAGAGCATCTTTTAGATTCATTCTGGTACAAACAATTCTCAGGTTTATAAAAAAAAAAAAAAAAAAAAAAAAAGAAAGCTTCCATTTTTGTGCCCACCAACCTGACCAGCAAATGCCAGGAAGCCGAGTTGGTGAAACCACGATAAAGCAATAAGGAAAATGTGAGCTGGAAACTGCTGCAGTGTTACCAGCTAACACAGTACAGGTCGTGGTGTATGGCTGCAGCCAAGCAAGCAGTAGAGGCACTGTGCTGCCATTCACCATGATGGTACTCTGCAGTATAACTCTTAACTCCTTAAAGAATGCTGCCTTATTTACCACAGATACATGCTTTTCCAAGGAGGGGTCCTATAACCAAAAGTTTTGCAATGTGTGTAAGAGATCAGTGCTAACAGGGCTAGAAAACGGGCAGCACTTCAAATGTTCACCCAAATTCAGTTCCTTCTAAAATCCCAAAGCCAGTGGCTTAGTCTACCAAATTACTGAGGGCATCTCTAGAGTTCAGTCATCAGGGAAGCTAAAACACTGCCACATCAGCTCAGACTCAGATGAGTTTTTTAAGATTTGAAGATCTTTCATTCATTATCTCCTCCTCACAACCAACTGGGATCAGAATCCAATCTTTTAATGCTGCAGTGCCGCTGAGATACCTGGAGGCCTCAGCACAGCTCAAAGGCTTAATTAAGTTTCTGTTTGCATTCCAGCACCAAAGTTTAGTTGGGTGATGAATGAACATGAACAGCAACGAATGAAAAATGGATGCCTGGGACAATGCTGGGGTATTTTTTCTGATACAAACGGAGATTAGGCCAAGCTAAGGTCATGATAGTTCCTATCTATGTTCACAGTGTAGCAGTATGAAGTGCCAACTCTTTTATCCAAATTGCTATTTTGCTTTAAGTAATTCTGGTTTTATTTGGGGAGGTTACAACTAAAGAGAATCATAATTGAGTCTAAATGTCTCATTCAAAACTTCCGTATGCAAAATTAGAACAAAACATTTCTTCAAACAGTGGTTTGAATTTTGTTTCAAGGTGTATATATATATATATATATATATATATTTTTAATTATTATTATTTTCAAAATGAAACATTTGACTTTGAAATTCTCTGAATTTCAATGAAACCCAATTTTTCAGCAGGGGGACTTTCCATGTGGGAGGCAAGGCAAGCCCTACGGGCGGGTATGACTGTGCTCCTTCTGCTCCACGTGCTACTGTGCACGTACAGCCCCTCCGCCCTCGGTGTGTGCACTCCACCTTCCAAAAAAAAAAAAAAAAAAGTAAACAGCCCTTGTTGAGGTTCCAGATTTTCCTGACCAAAGGAATGGTTGTTTACTGCTGCGATTTTAATGAGACAACATTGTGCTATCAGCAGTACTGTATTTTCTAAGCTTGCATTTCAGCTATCTGGTCCTCCTCATCTCCTTTCTAATCCAAAGAGAACAATGCTTTCACTACAACTCATTTCATCCTGGCCTTGCTCCCACAAAACTAACACAGATGCTGCTTCCCAAACTGCTGCAACCTGTGTAGGCAAAATCAGGCAAAATACAAAACTACATCATTAATAAGCTGAGCAATGCTATACAATTATGTTTGCCCAACTTGGCACTGCCTCTACTCTTGTGCAATAGTGCTTAATGGATTCAAAACTTTCCAGTGTGCACTCTGTATGACCAAAATGAAACCAGCTTCACTGCCTTAGGAATGCTGCTGTTTCTCACGAGATCAGCCTTTCTCCTGTCTGTTACATAGCACCCTGCAGCAATGACTGTATTGGCCGTTAATATACAAGCAAGTTTTGGAGCCAGTAGACACATACATGTACCATTTAAGAGACAACACTAGTGCACTGACACACTGATGCAGCTGTGTCCAGGACACAAATGCATATCAGAGTGCAGTGTTATACTGCGTCATGCACAGATACCAGAGATAATTGCTTCCTCAGAGCTGGCTAGAGAATGGATTGTGTGTGTACAGACAGTACCAAACGCCTTCTGCCCTTAAAACCCCCCTTATATATTATCAGATATGCTGCATTTGATGCATGCAAACAAGCATCTTCTTATAGGCATCATCAAGGACTCAATCTTCCCAAAGCCACTTCAACTAAAGGTGAACCAGGAGGCTCTCAGCAAAGAACAGCTGTTACAGTCCCCACTAGAGACAGAGATGTAAGAATACCCCTGAGGCCACACACAGAAAAGGACAGAAACGTGGCTGCGACTTACAAGCCCTCAGGTCTTTGCTTCTTTAGCTGACGTAAGTAATAAGGCTTACAACTCTAAACCTCCCTTTAGAAGGCAGCACAGTTCCATCCACATTAGACCAGATTCAACGTGCCCTTGCAGTCAGCAAAGAGCTCAGACATCACCACACAGGGAGCAATATGGATAGAACAGATCAATCAACCATATTGTAAACTACCTTTGCAAGAACTGAATCAAAATTTCCACGATTGCCACAGACTTGAGGTTTCTCTGAGGAAACCAAATGGAAGAACTGAAGGTTCTGGAAAAGTATTCATAGCTTTACTTCTGCCATTTTAGGATAGTGTTGTACTGTGTTCTTTTATATTGTCTATCTTCTAAGAAATACAAAGACCATCACATCAGTCAACATCTCATTCAACAACTCTGGAAGGCAAAATATGCTGTTCCCATATATGACATTGAAAACACAGTAAAGGAGAGTAACTTCATAAAACTTGCTAATGAGTCAACAGCAAAGCTGGAAAAGGAACCCAGATCTCGCACCTCGCACCTCTTTCTGATTATGCTATAGAACACCACTGTTCAGTTGAGAGAAGCACTAGGCTACAAGACTGACTTCAAAATAGCTTCTGCTTCAAGCGGGAGCCTGTGATACTTATGCCAGTTCATAGCTTCAGGAAAATTCAGGGGGAGATTCCCAGGAACTCCACTGATTTTAAATTAGGACTGAAGAGTGATGAGAAGGAAGCTGTATTAAACTGGGTCTTGGAAACAACCCTCAAGGTAAAAGGAGGCAGATTAGAATGACCACTGACCTCTCCCTCATCTTTTGAGAGTAGCTGTCCACAAGAAAGAAAGTCTTCGTATTTGGCAAAGGGGATGACAGGCTCTGGCAGCTCTCGGAGGTAAAGCTTCAGGAGGGACGCCACAGTGTGAACATCCGTGTTGCTGCAATACAGAAGAAGGAAGGAAATTTAGACACCCACACTACCTTAAAGCCTGATGCCTTCAGGCAGGGTGGATCAAAGTCCCTCTCAGGGACAAGGTAGGTACACAAAGTGGAATCATTCTGCTACACGACTGTATGAAGCATTACGGTCTACCTGGGGACAAGGAAAATCTCCCCTCTGTGAAAATAAGAATGCATCTCAAGCAACGTGAGCAGTGAAGGGATGCTCCTGCTCAAGATAGGGTGGTGCTGTGGTTCCTCAGTCAGTGCGGTCAGGACGGTGTGCAATGCAGAACACAGTGATCACACAGTTCTGACAACAAACCTCTGCACTCTCATGCAATCAAACAATCTCTGATCCTCTAACTGATACTCTACCACTGCAGGGGCTTCTTTTCCCTCTTTTCTACCCTTTACTTTCAATTAGGGCCTGAGGTATCAAATGCCATGATGAAGATGCACCTGCTCTTCCCTTTACATGACCTATCCAATTTCTGGTTTGTGACAGTGCCTCGTTCCAAGTTTCCAACTGTACAGCTCTGTTTATCTTTGCAAATGCTAGAAATCTCAACAGTTTGTGTTACCAGCTCTCCACTTCCCACCACAGCCATGACAGTCTCTAGAGAATTCTGAGAAAAACACATCAGTAAACAACGCAGCCTCAAATTCTCACTTCTTTAAAAGCTGCATCTCTTCTCTTTAGGATGTTTTTAAACAGTGTTTTGAAGTGTAATGAACTCTACCAAATATTTTGCAGCTGCAGCAGACCAGTGCAAGGACAAAATACATAAGGACTTGTACTTCTATTTTTATTCTGTTCTGATAAGAGCATTGGATTCAATTCTCTTAAGGAACATCCATCCCTGTTATTTTACTGAAGCTTGACAGTAATTTCCAAACTGTTGGGAAAGGAGAAAAATACACAGGCATGCATACTGACTGATACTAGAAACATAACTGTAAAACTTCTGAATTTTTTTTTTTTGAAAATTGGAAAAATTACCAGAACGAGCTGCCAGTAGTTTAATAAGTACCAACATTTGACCACTTGCTACTAATTTTGCTATTTCTATTCAATAACTCTATCAAAGCTGAGAATATCAGAGTTTTCTTCAGTTGATTACAAATACTTTGCAAATGATGTCAATAACCTCAGTTCTTTTTGTATGAGGTTTCAGGCATGAATGGTGGATATGATTATCACTCAGCAGCAGAGCCCACACATTACAAGGGACTTCAGGTCCCCTGGTTGGAATTTATTGTTACACCAGCATGGCCAGATGAAATCCAGCCAAAATGTCAATGACACAGATATGTGATAGGAGCAGACTGCTGTAGGTGCTTCCAACTGCAACACCTGGCTTTTCATTAAATACCTACATATGCATTTAAAACTCAGACTGAAAACCCAAGCTTTTTAAAAGTAAATATTTTAATTATCAATCATTAGAGATCTATCATTGGGCAGGTAGGCTTTAGCTTTTGGAAGATCAAGCAATGTTGAGTTCATTGCAGAATCAAACTGCATTGCCTGCAACCACAAAGAAGGAGAAAAAAAAAATGTATTCCTTCACTGCACCTGATTTGCAGTGAAAATTTGCAGAAAATATTTGCTGCTGCTTAGTTATTCTAGGCCGTATACGGACAGTTACAGAGAGAGAATTATGCTTACTAGAAGTGTTTCACTCAGCCATGATGGAATTGTTTCTCCTTTTCTGTGAGTGCTGATACAAAAGATCAGAGAGCAGGGCCTGCAAGCTGCAGCAGTCACAGTGGCTGCAAGGGGAAGGTAGGGCAGAAAGCCAACAGCTGAGGAACCCTCAATGGTCACACTGCTCAGATGCTACCAGGCTTGCCTCCTCCAATTCTATGCTGAAAATTGAGTTGTTCCATTTCAGATCAACCCAAATGACAGGCATCCCTTCATGGAGATCTTCATTGCCTCTGTTAAAGGTGACACTTCTCACTGATCTATTTTACTATTGCAAATGCCTATGGAAATAAAGGTGCCTTCTGCTTTCAGTATGATGGGAGGAGGCTTTTCTTGTCTTTCGGCAATTAAGTTAGAATAGATTAGAAGAAGGTAAGACATGAAAGTGAGACTGTTGGTCCTAATTAATTCCATCTGTAGATACTCCTATTCCCAGATAAGTGTTTTCCAAAACAACTCTGTTCACTTCACTTCCACATGAATTTAGACAATTCTAACTCTGAACCAGAGCATCCGGATGTTTTGTTAAAAAACAAAAGATTTTAAGAAAAGATGAAGTGAGACAGTTTGAGGGTTTCAACTTTTTTTTTCGTGAAAATATCTCAACACTTCCATTTAGGGAGAAAATACAGACTGTGGTTAAGAATCAAAGAAAGAAGGATTGGTGGCCTGGGAAGCAGAGGGGAGGGAAGAATTGGAAGAATGTTCACAATAAACTCAAAGGATATTCTTCCCAGAATGAGTGCAAACCCAATGCTATCATGCAGGAGAGCAGTACTACTTCCTGCAGCAGTAGTTTGGTACAGCACTGGCAATGTCAAGATTGCCTGCAAATCCACAAGGAAATGATTCCCTGGGTTAATACGCTGACATACCAGAAACTGCCAGTGCCACCTGGGAAATCTGTCCTAGGGAGTTTTGGCAAGAAATGGACCCTGGTCTCCAAGTGAAGATCTCCGATCTGATCCCACTCCTGGACGTGTCATAGATCTGTGCAATGTCCAAATCTATGCAACGCCCTTGGATCCAAGCACTACTAAAGTTCCAGTACTCTTCCAGAGTCAAGGCAAAATTCTCAAAGGGCTCTTTAGGTCAGCACAATGCTAACCATCATTCTGGGTAGCATGTGTGCACATGAGAGAGGGAAAGAAATGGCAGTTAAGGAGGATGGACAGAATATGGCTGCAAGGGCCTGAGAGCATCCACCCTCCTGATTATTTGACTGGGCTCACAGCCAAGGTAGAGATAGTGCGGCTGAGAGATGTCCTATTCCCTGGCTGAACTTAGAGCTCTTCCTGTGGCAGCCAACAGCCCCTCAGCCATGACTGACTGGCCACGCACCCTGTTATCCAGACCAAGACACTGACTTAAGGATGAAATTCAAAGTCTCATAGGGTGGCTTTGGGTTAGAAGGGACTTCATGGATAATCAAGCTCTACTTCCCAGCCTGACCTTGGACATCATCACTATCACTATAGACTTGCCTGCTGATCATGAGACTGTGCCTGAGCTTCAGTGCTCTCTCTGCATCTGCCTTGAGTACCTGGCTCAGGTATGATGGGAGTGGGCTCTGGGTGCTTGTTAATGCTCTTGCTCCTGAGTCACCTTCTCTTGCAGAATAACTGGCTCTCACTGGTCCCTGACACTGGCATAGATAGTAAGACCAAAAGGCAGCTACCTTTTTTCTGTACCACACAAGGAGTGATTGCATCAACATATTTACAGAGGGAATTAAAATGGGAAATGGTTATTTTTCTTTTGGAAACATCTGACTTAAGTTTTACAGAAAAATCAAAACAGAACACAGGTGTCCCTACGATATATTCAACTTTGAAATAAATGTTCCTGCTCAGATGCTGAAATTCTTGACCAAAAAGGAATTCCTTTTGGCCTAGAATTCTGTGGTCAGAAAATAGTTGGCTATGACATGCTGATCAACTCCATACACATAAAACAGCCAGAGAAAGATGTGTAAAATCTTGGTGACTATTCCGAAACCTGGTGACAATGAATGGGTAAGAATTGAGATTTTTCCCCTGGGCAGATTCACTACTGTCCTGTGTATTTTTATGGTGGGATCCCACCAACTGCTGAGTAGGCTGTACCCACACCTAGCATTGGCTTTCAAGATGTGCTTATACTCAGCTCAATTTCTCTCCCTGCTCAAGCACTGAACCAAATGTAGGCCTCAACACTCATGCAGGAGAAAGGCCCAGCTACTCTCTGAATGAAGAGAATGTGTAATTAAGATAGCCACCATCAGGCTGCTCCTGCCAGACTTCACATGCCACAAGTAAAACAATCTGAATTTCTGATGTCAACTCACCTGTCAAAGAGTGGCTTCTCTCCACAGTCAAAAGAATCTTGCAAATCTTTGACAAGGTTGGCTTGCCCAGGCATCCGAAAGAGTCCCTCCTCTGTAAGTCCTCGCTCCCGAATAAAATCCACACACTGTTCCACCAGCAGTGGGGCTAACCGCTGGCCATACTTCCTCTCGTACTGCACAGTGTCCTCCAATCGCTGTCCAAAGATCCCTGCCAAAAGAGAGCAAGAGAGACATTCGGGTGTTAGCTGCAACTCTTCACGAGCTATTGCTCAGGGTGAATAATGAAGGAAATTATTTTGTAGGGACTGGATGCACTAAGGTCCAGTTTTTAAACAGACTCTGAAGAATAAAAGGGTTTTAAAAAACAAGTACAATTACATGCCAAGCGTGATTGTTTTTTTTCTGCTTAAGAGTCCTTTAAACTACCCTTTGCCCTAAGATGGTATATACCTCTATATACACAAGGAAAGTAGAGCTGAGATTATGCTTATAGTTATCTATAGCTGTGCTGAACCTGAGTTAAGTAATTACATTTCCATTGCATCTTCAGTCTTAAGAATGCCAAAACAGAGGCATGGGCCACAATGCTTTTTTACATGTACACACCACTCACACAGTTACTGCTTAGTAGTTTGCAGCTGCCCAGCCTAACAGGTAGCACACCCCTGCAAGAAGATTGCCAGCATGTTGGAATGTAGTTGTCCACATCAAAAGTGGCTTATGTGAGTGAAACTGCTCTCACTCTCCACCTACTGTAAGCTCTGGGTTTCTATTTATTTTCCTTTAATTAAAATTAACAAGTGAAAATTAGAAAAATGAAACACAGGTATGCATGAAATCATCGCTTTTCCTACTAAAACGTCTTACTTCCTGCACTTTGGAAGTATAAGAAGCATCAGATACTCTAAAAGCAGGCTGGCCATAGGTAGTTATTAGGTCAGATCTACTGCAGACTTGTACCAGCAAGTATGAAAGCACTGGCTCACTCTTTGATGAAACTGGAGTTCCTGGACAATGCCAGCTGCCGAATGCCACTACTCGGGTCACATCAGAAGACACTCAGGCTGTGAGATCCAGAAGTTCAATCCCTGCCACTAAGAAATAACTCCATCTAAAAGGACAGCCTGTGAGCCATGCTCTGAAATCCCACTTCTAGCACCCTACAAGGTATGGAGGAGTCAAGGAAGACAGCAAACAAATTAATCTCATTCTGGAGATTAGGTATTTAGAAAGTGTGAGAATTCCAAGATTTACCCAGTTTCAGACAGGAAATTCTACTCAAACATTGCTCAAAGCAACTGGTAAATTTACACTGATATCAACAAGGAGCTTTAGATCATGCACTTAGCACACAGTCATACATATCTGAAAAAAAAACATCAGAATCCAACACCAAAGTTACTCTGTCCACAAACAGCAGCCAAGTAGTGTTTAGTGATGAATGCATGTGAATATATCACATTTCTTTTGGTCATTTTGGTCATTTTTAGGACTCTCCTTTCCTTCCTACTAAAGAACTTATTTCCCATTTTTATTTTAGTGCTATACTCGTGGCAGGCTGATAACTCACAGCAGAAGTTTCCTTGCCACCATTCACTATCCTCCAAGGGACATCTGATATCAAATTGTACCTTCATTCTGAATTCAGTCCAACCCTGTTGAATCCTTGGTGAAATAAAATCTAGCACAGTGAGAGAAAAAATCTAGACATCAGTGTTAACTCCCTGAATGAAACATACAAAAAGGATCCTGAAGCCCATTTTCCACTCCCTGAGAAACTGTTACACGTCAGAATACAGAAACTTTTCTTACACTCCAGCCTGCACAGCTGCACTGCATAATCAGAGATGGAGGGCCATGAAGAATCTTGAAGGAAATTCCCTCCTTATCCTGGCAGGAGAGCATGCCCTGAAGCATGGGAGTGACATGTTTGTCACTGTAAATATTGTTTCTCTTTCAAAGTAAAGGTTTTACTGGTTCTTATTTCTAATTCATTCATGAGTTTTCATAGAGATATCCCTGAAATTATATTCTAGGAGAAGAAATCTCTTCCTCGTTTTGCACAGGTTGCTTTGTAATCTCATCGTGTTGCCATGACAGTGTAAAGCCAAGCAGCAAAGCAGCACAGCAGAACTGCTTGTGTACTTGGTGCTCACCACTATCAAAGGGTTTCCAGGACTCTTACAGATGCTGAGTACCCAAGGAAGAACAACATTCTCAACCTAGTTTATCCTATAATATCTGGATCCAGTAATATCCAAATCATGGCTGAGAAAGTAAACTCTCCAAGGCTTGCTCATCTTGGCCTCTGTCATTCTTAACAATGTGTATCACTGCACACAGAATAATCCAGGCAAAAGGAGCTGCTAGGTACAGTGCAGAGCCCTCCTCTATGAAATCTGAGCAGAAGCACACAACCTCTCTAACCTCCTTTGTGCTATTCTGCTGGTGAACATTTTTCCCCCTTCCCCTGAGCTGTGTATTCGATCCTGGGCTACAGGCTGCCTTCAGTCAAAAGGTCCTTCAGCTTTAGTTACAGCAAGTTCAGTCCAGGCCCCAACTTGCATATCTACCAAAAAAAAAAAAAAAAAAAAAAATCACTAAAAAAATAACTCCATGTCCTATCATCAATCTCTGAGCCAGGCTTCTTCCCACCAAATCCATCTATTTTCTCAAAATGATACATGAAATTCACTCTTTTAGATGCAGGACACACAGCCGCAGGGAGCTCAGGCTATGTAGACGGCATGGCAATTGAAGAACAGCAGCCTTGCTTTTCCAAATCTCCTCCTCCTAGCTGACTGACCGCCTTGCTTCCTTCTAAAGAGTGTGTCTAGAGAAAGACTAGGAAATAGGCAAATGCTCTGCACTCCCCAGATATAGAGTACAGTTAGCAGTTTTCCAAAAACCCCATGTTCCGGTGTTCTAGACTGATCCAGAGCAAGGACAGAGGCCATGTCAGACACTCATATGCAAGCATATGCATAGAACTACTGCATGTGTGATCTCCACTTGCAGCATGAAGCTTTTCCTGCTTTCTCCTAGTTTTGTCTGGCCTGCAGTCAGTGACATGCCCTCATAGTTCGGTCAGTTGTTGCTGAGGTGATGAGAAAAGACCCTCAAGCCACTGCCAGGATGAAAGACTTCTCCCAGACCAGCTCTTCTGGTTGCCTCCCACCTTGGTTTGGTAGGCCCATTTCAGTCCAACTCCGATTGCAAACCTATATTTTCTCTTTTTCTCATCCCATACTTTCTCAGTGAAGTGCTAGAAAAAGTCCCCCAGGCATTGCCCAGATGAAGTATTTCTCCCAAGTCAAGTTTGTTGGTAATTCCAACTTCTCTTTTGCAGCCCCTGTTAACACTGTAGCCCTGCACTTTCTCGCTGTCCTGATGCTACTTATATTTATTTACTTATTTATTTTACCACACCACAGACAAGGACCCCTGAGTCACTGTGCAGAGAAAGATTGCTCCCAGGCGATATCTCTTGGTAGGAAGACTATTATGGTTAGGGTTTAGAGAGAGAGAAAGCATAGAACTGCAGTTAGAATAGGGCTGAAAAGAGGCAGCCAAAAGCAAACAGGGATGCCAGGCTTGGAAAAAATCACTCATCTTTGCCATGGCTGCAGAGCTTGTCCATGGCTTAGAAGTGCAAATTATGGTTAGGGTTCAGAGAAGGAGCCAGCTTTCTTTGGATTGCGGCTGGAATGGGACTTCCAAAAGCAAGTTGGAGCTGCTGACAGTCAGGGGCTTGCAGAAATCTTTCTTCCAGGCATCTGCTGGGGGGCCTTAACAAATCTCCCCTTGGGAAAATTATCATTAGGGTTCTCACAACCATACTAGCATGGCACGTGTTACATTCACTTACTTTGGTCTCCTAGGGCTAAAAAGGGCAGACTGAGGAGGTGGTGTCCTGTTAACTCTATAAATCATCTCACTTCAGCTAGGTCTCAGAAAGGTTTGTAAAACTTAGTTAAATACGCCTGAAAGAAGCAGATAAGAGCATTGCTGGTCTGGACAGGGGCTGCCCTACTTTGCAAGGAAAAACTAATGTGGAACCAATTGCACACAGCCTCATCTGCTGGCTCCTCAAGGCACAGGCCTGGTTTTAATAACTGGGGCTACAGCTCAGATGGAACTTGGCAGTTCTTCACTCCATCTGATGAGCCTGCTGGAAGACATTAAAGTCTCTCTTCATTCAGAAGAAAGGGAGCCAGTGCCATCCGGTCACACTCCCATACAGGGACAGGCTAGAAATAAAGCCAAAAGCTACTGGCAACCCAAGGGTTAACCTTCCTTGTTGTATCCTTATCTATAGCTAGGCCCTTTTGTTTGGTTTGAAAGCAGGAAAAAGAAAAAAAAAAAAAGAAAAAAAAAAAAAAAAAGCAAAGCAGCATGGTTGGGACCACATCCTGAATTTCAGAAAGATTCAAGAGATACTAAAGAAAAAATGGGCTAAAGAATTTCTTTCCTCTACTCCAACAAGCTGCCTCTGTTCTTCAGAGATTTAGGTGGCTCTTTGTGGAAAAAGCAATCCAGGAACGATGTGCTAAGACACAGACAGTCTTTCTGTCCTGGCCTGAATAGCTCACCCACCAGCTCCAGGCACACAAAGCCTATACATTCAGCTACGCTGTCTGGACATGCTGTGGGCAGGAAAATATATGCTCCCTGCTTGATTTTTTTCTCATCAGAGCTCTGATTTCAACCAAAATAAACTAAAGAAAGTGATAATAAAGTCAGTGCTCGAATGGATTTTCTTTGCAGAGAGGACTGAGGACTCTACACATGCTTAAAGAGGGAAAAGTCCAGACACACCTACATCAGCTGTAGGCACAGGTTAGTACACACATGCTAAAAGATGTACAGGAAGATAATTAGGCACACACCTGGATGCTGCTATATAGCCTGCACACCCGCGCACGCATGTGGTGCCTCACAGACAGCAGTTTGTGGATATAAAGATTGTATACGTGCTCACCTGCACAGGTAAGCTTCTGCTTTTACCTTCCCACACTCATGCTTAGGCTGCCATTTATCTGTCCCCTCTCACACACGAAAACAGTGCGAAAAAACCATGGGCGGACATTCAGAAGTGCATAGGCTTTCCCAACAAAAAGCACACACAAACCTGTAGCTCTTCCTGCCCTCCCCTGGCCCACCCAAGTGCATGCGGCATGAATTACTGCAGCACGACTGAAAGCAGAG